AAAATTTCTGTGTAGACAATAAAGATAAAATATCTGATAATTACGCGACCCACCTTTAGATAAACTTAAAATGAAAAAATAAGAGACAAGTGAGAGACAAAAAATACTTGGATAAAAATAGAAGCATATCAGATAGCTTGGTTTAGATCAAAACATCGTAGTTTATGAATCCGCCTGATTTTAATCATAATGACTCTACAAACATTTTTTGTGCTACATTTTCCACGTGTTTCACATATCCGATATCTCGTTCGTACTTCCTCAGGTAACCCTAACCATGGTAGAAGGAGACATGGTATAGGCATACGCATCGGGTGTGACGTCAAGTGGGGTGAAATTAGCGCGAAATTTAAAATACAATTCGTTATCCGACAACTAATTGACGTATTGGACAGAGCAATGACAACTCAAGCTGAAATTCCCTAGACTTCCCTAGCGAAGCTCACAAGAATCACAAGGTCGTTGATGCCACCTAACGTCACAAATGGATGCGCAGACCATTTTTAAATTGGTACATCGGATGCCTATACCATGTCTCCTTGTACCATGACCCTAACTTTGTTAAAAAGGCGCCAAATTTGAAAATTTTAAACTTCGCGTTCGTCACATGCCAAAATCCACTATTTTTGTATACTAAAAAGTTACATTAGGTATGTATGGTTAATTTCTGAGGCAAAATAATTTTATAACTCTGTTTATCCACCTCAAATAAATTCATCAAAGCGAACATCAAATACGGCCCTGTTTAGGGTCTGACGAAGAACTGAGTAACTTTCAGGTGGAAAAATTTTATCACCCTACAAAAACCGTGTGGTAATATGAATATAAATAAAGTTCAAAACAACTGCTAGTGGACGAAGACGTAATGAAGAAATCGAACGCCAAAAAAACACTATATTGATATAATCGAATTGTTGAAAAACAAGCGGTTCATGTAATTTTTAAGAGTAATGGAAATATAGTGTGCACTTTGTTATTAATAATTAAATTATTTAGTAGTTAGAATTACGTGAAAATCGATACTCTACATTCAAAACAGCAGTGCGTGTATGAAAACATCATTAACAGTTCGGGTGCTAGAAAAATACAGACAACAATAAACACCAAACTAAATTAAACCCAGTTCCAAAAAAAAAAACAAAGAAAATACACAAGGAATAATTAAATAAAGAGCACAACCCAATTCGTTCATTTAATTCATTTAATTCCACAGTTCAGCATTAAAAAGCTCCACTCGAACATTTTTTCGTGTAAATAAAGGAGCACTCCAGTTAGTGCCGTCCCTCAAGGGCGTGTCACCCCAGCCCCCGACCAGCACCCCCTTAAACAATCAATTACCACTAAAAATACGATTAGACAAAAACTACATAAACAATAACAAACAAGTCCGACAAAAGCAACAACGGAATCGTCGAAATTACAACAATTGACCAAACAGTGGGAGGGTGGGTGGGGGCGTGGTCCATCGATCCAGAAATATAATAATACCTTTTAAAATGCATGTAACGTCCGTGAAATTGACGGCCAAAGTCGGCATTTACTGGAAAAGTTTAGTAAAAATTGGAAAAAGGGGCGACACCTGCTTGATTATATCGATTCCGTCTGGGGTATTATGTTTAATTATTATCGAAAGGGCGGTTGATGAACGAGAGGGGAGGATATTATTTATTATTCACCACTAGCATCACAAATTCTACTAATTAATTGAAGATGTTTCGGCGCACAAAGGCGGCTTTTCCCTTTTCCGCCGCCATATACAGGGTGAGCTAGGGAAGAACGTGCTCCGGCTGGGAAATAATTAACGCTCGGGAAATGTGGACTTGTGTATTTTCATCATTTATGAATTAGTATTGAGGGAATCAATCACAGCTGGGATTGATTTGTGAAAACAGCGGGGTGTTTAAATTTATATTCGGGACGTTATGTAATCGATAGTGGCTGTGAAATTTTATGCTGCAGGAATTATTTAAAATTAGTTCGAAGTTTTATTGCCACACATTAAAAAACTCATTCGAACAAAGCGAATGGGTTTATTAATAAGTGTGAATATAAAAAGGCGACGGAATTTTAATTCAACTATTAATAGAGGTTGTGATTACAGGTATTACCTCATAACATAACCTTACTTTTATGATTTTTATTTAATAACTTTTTAATATGACATGATCGAAGTTAAACGTCATCGTTGTTTTAGAGAAGATGATCAAACTTCTGCTTTACAATTTTCTACGATCTGTGAAACGTCAAAAAAGCGAAATTAATTAAGGTAAGCACTGTAATAGAACCATTTTAACGAATCTCCATTTCCATATTTTTTTGACGTTTCACAACACATAGAATACGGAAATACAAACATCTTCTGAACATGAATTACATCTGCAGTTCTGGGCAATTTAATTTTAAGCGAAAGTTTTCAAATTGGCACGAAAGTCTGCCAACAGATGGATCAAAATTCCCTAGACTTAAGTTTGATCTCGAAAAATATGGCCGATAATGTTGGCGGAATTTTACAGTAAGGAACTAACATTAATTTAAGAAATTCTATTAAGAAATTAGATTAATTAATTAAAAAATATATGTTCAGATGTTTTTGTCAATTTTAGAGCTACAACGTCAGAGAGTTGAAATATGATCAGATTAGGTCACGTCAGGTCAAGTCAGGTCAGGTCAAAAGGCATCTAACCGGTCATGAGCTTGTCATCGGCCCAGTATATTAATACATAATACATTTAATTCTACGGAAAGTGAACATCATGTCAAAAAATTATCAAGAAAAGTTCCAAAGAAATCGTGGAAAAATTTACTTATTTTCCAGCGATTATTTTAATAATTATAAACAGGTATCTAACAAACATTAAAAGTTAATCCTCCTCATAATCCTCATGTTGGAAAACTATTTACATCGAAGAAAGCTTTTTATACAACAGGATTCTAAGTACGTCATCCATATTTTTATAAAGTAACATACTCGTACACTTGTGGTTTATGAATCCGGCTTGATTTGTTTTATCCTATATATTCAGACTTTCGAAAAAAAATCCAAATTGTATCATTACATTTTATGCACTCCGACCGTGCCGTAAAAAAAACATTTTTTTACACTATAACAGCAATTATCTTTTTTTATTATTATTAGTATAGTACCTGTCGGATTTGACCTACGTGTCCTTGATGTATCCTTGCGTTTTATCGATGCATTCATACTTGTGGAGCAATTGTTTGAACATTCACCCGATTTCTTCAGGCTCCGCGCCAGACCAAAAATAAACATACTTTATTAAGATAACAAATATGTAAACAAAAATTTTTGATATGTAGAGATGCAACTTTCTACGTTTTCCCGCGAATTTTAATTTCAAAATACTTAGAAAAGTAACAACAAAGGGACAGAAGTTTCCTCATCATTTCAAAAAATCGCACCAAATCAGTAACGTGAATGAGTATAGTAGTCTAAATAAAATTGATGTTATGTTATTAGACAGAAATATAACACCAATAAGAAAAAAATCATCATAATACTTTAGTTATCCATGCTCCGCCACTGCCTCTGATTCGAACTCATGATCTTAGTAGGAATTAAAACTCTTGACTACTTTATTTTTGGTCCAGCAGGGACTGAAGAACATTCTTATCTTAACAAGTACTAGGCCCGCCCACCCACCCCTATATTCTCAGAGGATATGTCATTTGCCAAAATAAGACATGTTAGCAAGTACTAGCCCCGCCCACCCGCCCGTTATTATCTCAGAGGGTGGTGCTTGCTAAGATAAGTCTTATTTAGGCAAATGACACATCCTCTGAAGAAATAGGGGTGGGCGGGCGGGGCTAGTACTTGTTCAGATAACACTGATTTTGGCGAACGACATACCCTCTGAGAAAATAAAGGGCGGGTGGGCGGTGCTAGTACTTACTACGGCTGATTTTGCTCCTATTAAACTTATTAAATTTGGAAGTTGTTAAATTAATAAAATAAAAACGAGTTTAATTCCTAAATCTGAATGGATGTTTGGATTTAGTCGTTAATTTTTTTGAGTTACCCGAACAGACGGACGGACAGACAGACGGAAACGGGAGACCTATTTCTTCGTACTGTAGGGGTCATGAAAGATCGAGAAAACGTAAAAGTAGAGTCGCTTACGCTCGGAAAATAAAAATAGTTTCGGAGATTATCTATCTAATAAAAATCGACACAAACGACAGACGGACGGAAACGGAAGACCTATTTTTCCATACTCTAGAGAAAACGTGAATCCATTCGTTGGATGGATTCTATTACAATCTGAACCACAACAAGGAAACCTGACGTGACTGGATTTTTTCTACTTCACGCAAGCAGTAAAACTTCAAGAAAATTTTTGCCGTTCCTGTAATGGTTGTCAAAGAAAAAATGGACACGTGGACACCCCGAGATACCGGCTACGTGAAACACATGACAAATATTGCACACACACTTTGGTAAAGTAATGGGATAAAACTCAAGTCGGATTCATAAACAACAAGTACAGGAGTTTATCATTTTATAAAATTTAAATAGCATTTATCAGCCAAAATTTTGAACTGATGTCAGCAGATCAGATAAATTTCGGTTTGGTGGATGAACAGACAGACGGACCATGAAAAATGAAAGAAAAAGAAATGCACACATACAGTCACGAATAATAATAAAACCAGTAATAAAACTTGACACTTTTGTGGAATCAGTTGCGATTCGTTCCGGATTAATCAACAAGCAAAAACAAAGTCAAATTTGAAACATTTTCCCACACAACATGCACTTAATTCAATTTAAATGAATGCATTTTATTAGTTACTTAAATCACGTTGACTTATAGTGTTATTAATGTCAAAATAACATGAGTTACTATCAGTTTTTTGCAATTTATTTTTTTCCAGACTACCTACCAGTCGCAATCGTGTATTTCGAATGAAAATTTTCTACAATGTGGTGGGTTCAATTATTAATTGAAACACGTGTTAATTGCAGTAATTCAGTTATGCAGTTATTGTTTAAAAACAAATGGACTTTATAAAACGCTGTAAAACACGTGGTAATAAAAGATGTTGAACATTGTTCGGGTCTGTATTAGTTTTAAGACCAGATGTGCTTATGACGTCATACGCATTTTGCAGGGGAATAAGAACGAATAATATAGCTTGATCCTAGATGGCGCTATAATTTTCTAGTGCAATGTTTCCCCGTCTTGTTTCTCTGTTCCAAGCGACAGTAATACCAACTACAAATAAATAGTAAGATACGTATTTACAAATAAATAATTATTCACCTTGATAGTTGTAGTTTTTGCCGCTAGGTGTCAAGGCGGCCATTTTGTCCAAATATTTCACGAAAAACTAACCAACGACGCATATAACCCAACGAAGGTGACATAAGTGTTAACGTTCAACTCGGTTATTTTGAAAACCCCATACTTGGAAAAACGCTTTACTGATCCTAGTAACGTCAAATGAATATACATTACATTTAAATGTGTATTGATGCATATTCACTCGAAATTTACATCAGAATAAACAAAATTTCAGACTAAGGACGGCAGTGACGTTTGACATGGTTTTTGTTTTGTATACATAATGATGAAAACAACCATAAAAATATATATCAAGATTCAAAACTGGAAACGTCGACTCATTTCGTATCAGGTTAGCACTCGTTATACTTTTTGTATTTATTGTATTTTCTGCTAAATTTAATCTATTTTACCAAAGTTAGCAAGTCCTTCGTGACGTCAGAGACCGGTGCATTCGTGAGTTTCGATTAACAGGTTCTATTGTCAAGATATAAGACAATATAGTTACGGTTTTAATGCAGTGACCCACACGTTTGATTTTTGATGCTTAATTGACCTTGCACATCGCAGTTTAACATTATCTGGCTACAATGCAACGTTTTTTTTTTTAAATCACTTGTGCTGTAAGTCTACTTTAAATTCAGTTTGACAGGAGAGACAGTGGTGAGATTTTTTAATTCTTAAATCAACACACGATGATACATCGACACAACATGACAGTTTACCAAAGCTGTCTTTTCATTATCACGCGGGTTGACTGCTTCCACGAAATGACTCATCCAATATCCAAAAAAAGAAAAACGGTCATTAGCGCCAAGGTCGGCCCATTTCATCACTTTTTCTTATCGATTAAACTTGACTACCGTTAATAATAAATAAAACAATAAAAAATAATAATAACTAAAGCTATTAACAATGGAAGAAAATAACGACGAAACATCGATAAGGATGAAATTAGACGCTTTAGGTAATTAAGGTTGGATTGTCGTTATTTGCCAAGACGACTTAAGGTGAATAATTTACGACGACATATGAAAGAGAATTACGTTTTACTAACTTTTTGGATTAACGCAACTGTATATATAATATATGGCCTTGTGGTATTTGCCCTTTTTAATCTTATCTTATCAGTACTTAAAAGATTACAGAAATACACAGTCGAATTGTTCGTGTTTTGTAAAAGCACGTCCAACGATACGCAAAATAAACACTGGTGAGTATATTCTGTAGAAACGGAAAACCTAAAATTCTTTTCAGATTTCAAAAATGATTGAAATCATTTGACAGGAAGAGACGCCACGTGTCATTTTATTTGTAAAAAGATAACTGCGTAGTAATGAGTGCTAGCAACGTAAGTAACGTAGCTAATGATAATCAGTTTGACTATACGCTAAATGAGGTACACTCAACAACCAAGTATTTTTCGTGGTAAACGATATCTTGCTTGTTACGCAACGCTGTAATCTAGAAGAGGCCGTCCATGTGACAGAATGGTATTTTATCGCCAAAATTTCGAGCTCCGGGCCTGTTTGTCTCTTCGAAATTGCATATACCGCTTACCCTAAAATTGAGCTGCACTACGACGTTCCGCCTTCCGAAAAAATTCGACTACTATAAGTAAAGTTATTCAGATAGAAATTTTTAATTTATTCACCAAGAAACGCCAAACAGAAATGGGAGTCCTATTTTTTCCTATTCTAGACTATGCTCGGGAAGTACAAACGCCAAATATCGACTTAATTTGCAACCACTTTTTTTGTTCATGTAACATACGCCCCTGCACTGTCACGTCAAGCTAGTATCAGACCACAAAATCGAATTCGCACACTATGCTTAGGCATCGACGTGAAACAAGTGATACATTCTTCTTGAGACATTTAGACATTCTGACGCACGTATTTTATCAAAACCATATCATTAAAATGACGGGTTATTAAAACAAGTATATTAATATTATTTTACTTTTTAACAACTACATGAATATATATTAGTTATTAATATCGACAGATCAAAGTCGATATGTTATAATTTTTGTAACGAGTTCTTGATAAACTTTGACCTTAATTAAACATATGCAGTTTAGTATACTATAAATGTAAAAAATACAGTCGGCGAATCAGGTATAATTATTAATAAAACCTATATAGTTTGTTATTTTAAGAGTGACACTTCAAAGTGGATTGTCAATTTGAAGTTTAAAAATGGAAAGACAGTGAGATGAAACATAACCTTAAATTATTTCACGACCAAGATTGCCATCTACCTAGTAAATTCAAAATGCTGCGTATAATTATTGTCATTGAAATAAGGGGCAGAGGTCACTAGACCTATCGTGCCCTGGTATATGCATATAATCACACATACAATCAACTTTAACGCATTCCCTGCTCAGAAAAAAATTGATACTGTTTGATCCGGCATCGCAGTTTCTACACACTATTAATATTCGCGCGCTTCTAGTGACCTTGATGTGGCACAAAATGGTGGGTGTTCTAAGGAACGTTTGCTAAAAACTGTTGACAATATTAGTTCGACTCGTCGCACTGTTGCACACTGCAAGGACCACGAAAATAAAGTGGAAGTAAAGTATTTTATTGGAGTATGGGTACAATTCAGGTTAATAAATCATATTTTAATTAGTTGTGTCAAGCATCACCCATCACTCATACACGTCAAATAGGAATCCAATTTTCACAAACATGCCTCCAATCAATGTGTTTTGTATGAAATGCACGCTACATTTAGTAATGACCTGTGCACTAAATTGAAAAAGTGATTGCATTTTGTTAAATTGTGTCTTTTGTGATTCATATTTGTATTGTATATTGAGACACGTGATTGTGCGTATGTGGAGTCACATAGGCTGCAGTAGCGCAACAAAAGTTTTTTTAGGTTTGCTGGTAAGTACTAGACGAAAATGTTTTCATGTGTTCATTCTGTCACGGTGACGTCATTTCACTATTGCAACTACAATCACCATTGTTAGGTTATGTTTTAATGCGTTTATAAAATTTAAACAAATTGTCCAGTGACCTTGCAACAGACAATAATTAAAGACGGTGTTATAACTTGTACAAACAAATAATAAGTCAACGTTTCGCTAACTCTAAAACCATACTTAGCACATTTAGATATGTATGAATAACGGTTTTGTGTGAATACAATTAAAAAATAATCATCCGTGCGACACAAAGATATTTACTTATAAAATTAACAGCGACGTTTTAAAAGTCCATTTCTTGGATAACCTTTTCGATGAAAATGCGAACTGGTCGCAACGACTTTCCAAGAAAACCCGCCCCCACATCTCAAATGCACAGTTATTTTTAGTTGAACTACCCTTTAAGATCGCCGCCAGCCCCAAAAGGGTCTATTAAAAATTTCCCTACTAAATAATAACCTTACAACTTAGCGTGACGCAAGCATTTACTCGAAAGTCCCCTCGCTTATAAATAAGGCATAGGAAGAGTGCACAAAGATTTGTTATTGCTATTAAAGGCATATAATTACGATTGACTTGACATAATAAGTTTGATTATCTCGCCACTACTTAATATTTTGCGTTGGTAATTTGCAATACGTAGTTTGTAATGTATGGAATTAAAATAATTTGCGAAGTTGCATTGACACTGACCGCAAAAATTAATTTCAAAGACGTAAGCTGTAACGCAGGTGAAATAACTCCGTAAACGCATATAGGTAACGTACAAACTTTTTTTTCAACCATCGAGAACCTACTTGACGTCGTTTTTGACTTCGTGTTGTAATGTAAAATGAATTTATTTTATTTGATTAAATAGCAAGCACAATTAAATGGGTTTGTTTTCAGCAAAAAAAAAGTAAATTTAAATTGTGCGCACGTCCTTTTTTTTGGCGGGTGATTAATTCGTCACCAACATTATTCGTGTTAGAATTTCTTTCTTCAGAGTTGTCGTAATGGAAAAAATTTTGCATGCTTATTTTATTTTAAATCAGTTATGTGCGGAAACTCTCTGATTTGCCTATAATTTGCAACGAAAACTGCAATAAAAAAAGTAACGCATGTTATAATACCGTTGAAACTGGGCAATTGAAGAATTAATGGTGTGTTTACAATTATTAGTTGCCATAAAGATCGGAACAAATAAGTAATTATGCGCATACATGTTTTGTTTTGCTGTAATTGGGAAATAATTGTGGATTCGTGCAAACGCACGTTTCCCAATACTATATACATAAATGATGTAATGTTTTTACGGCACTGTTCCATGTAAGCTTACCTTTAGCAGTTATAAATACATAATCATCAGCGTTGTTTGGTGTTTTTGCGAGAAAAACTGGAAAAGGGCGTCAAAAAAAGTGTGGGTAATAAAAGTTCCCTAAAGGCGCGTTTAGAGGGAGCAATTTTGATAATAGAGTCCGTCCACGCAAAAGTTGGTAAATTAGTGTGACATCGCCATTAAGTGGACATGACATGGTATTATCAGTTATCTAAAGAGCGCACACATTTTCTCAAGATAAAAGTGTATTTTCGTCGATAACAGTTAAATAAATAATCCCCAAACGAAGGCTATTTGTAGTGCACTTATAAACAATACGCAAACAATTGATAATTTCGAAAGCAAACACGCTAATCTCAAATAAATGGTCACACACCCGGGAACAGTCCCCCAGACGCATCACCAAGACAAAAAAACTTACGTTTTATCATTATCTAGTGTGCTGAAACGTCACCAGCCTTCTTTTCGGTGTGCCCCAAAAACGCTCGCACAATCGAGTAGGCACCGCACTCGCAGGTAACTAGATCATAATTGACCACGTTGTAAACAGAGCAACCGCTGTCGTTATCAGCCAATGGGGTGGACGCGTGCGAAACAATCGAAATTCGATCGAAAACGGCGGGAATTTTTCGAAAAGCGCCCGAAACAGCCACACGTTGCCGATTTTTTCCGCCCGTCGCATCGATCGCCGGGGAGGGGGAGGGCGGCGGCGCGTGTGCGAGTGACGTCGCGGCGGCGGCGTCGCCCGCTCAGGCCCTTCGGGGCCGGATCCGGCTCGAAGGGACACAAGACTTACCTAAAATTGGTTATCACTGATAACACGAACCGCCATTTTGAAGTTTGTGTTTACAACTAGCCAAACGCGATCGCAGTGACATTAGGCGACATGCGCGACCAATTGTCGTACGAAACAAATGACAATGCGACATGAACGTGGACGTGGACGGCGGAAGGACGCGCACCTACTACATGCTGAAGTTGAATAATCCCGCGTTTGGGGGGGTGATGGGACGGCCCCCACCACAGCGCGGGGGTCTGGGATGGCCCTTGGCCGAAGCAGTGGTGCCTACTTTGAAAAGTTGAGGAGTGCGGAAACGCGCGCCGGGATTAGTATTTGTGTCGAGATAAAAATGATTGTCACGTTTTAGGGGCATGGAGGGAAGGAGGAACTGAATAACAATACAGGACCGGAATAATTAGGTCTTAATAGGTGTTGATTTTAAATAGCGTTAAACGGGCGGCGCGAGATGTATGCAACCAGTAATACAACCGAAATTACAGAACCCTGTTACTATGGAGCTGGGGTTTTGCCGGCGTACTTAAACTTTATTATTTTATAGCATTATTTGGACAAAGCAAACACATTTCATCAATAAAAGTGTAAAACTGTAGTTTTTCGTAATATTTGAAGCTGAGGTTGCCAAAGTGAATCATCTGATGAGACAGATTCTATTATTTTATTTTCCAAATTTTCCACTTTGTTAATTTGAGTTTGGTTTAACTGTGCCCCATCAAGGTAATCCTGCACCCCTCTATGATAATGCGCAGCAGCTCTATCTTATTGGTACCGTAAACTTAGTCACATTCCAAATTAATATTTACGAATCGGAATGGTAAATTAGTTTAAATAAAATTTAAATAAGAATTATTATCTTATTAAACTCCACCATCATTTGAAAATTTTGATAACCCAAATATCCCGTCAAAATTACATAGCTAGACGAAATATTCAAAATGTGCCTTTGAACTGTAATCGTCAACAAAATGGAGCCCACAACTATGATTTGATAAATGGTGGGAGCGCAAGAAATTAAAGACAAAATTGAAAGGGGAATACCCTATATTCCCTGATAAATAAGCCCTCGAGCTACAAGGAGGTAACGGGAATGGAATTTAAGTTCCTCGTCATAGCTTATCACCCTTCCTTCCTCGATGATGCTACTCTATTAACAGGTATAACACGCACACATCTCATTTCTATGCCCAAAACACCTACCGCATACTATACTCTATACCCCGTCTTCGCAAAACAGCCAGTTATTAGGGTCCTCATGATATTCACAATTAAAAATCCATTACAAATGACAAAAAACCCGTCAGCTTTGACTACAAAACCGTGTTCTGTTTTCGAAAAGCGATCTTGTGCTTCTATTTCGATTAAAGTTAAAATCTCCGGAATTTTGACAATAGTAACATGAGTATTACAATTATTACAAGTGAGCAAACAAGCAAAATTCAATTAAATTGTATGCTCCTTATTCCATCAACAATTTCGAACAACAAACAAAATACGCTCAAAATCAAAGCAATAATTCAAGAATAAATGTTCAAATTCAAGCTGTGAGAAAATAATTCGGATATAAGAAAATAACACATTCGCGTAATGCAAAATAAGCATAAAATGCACCTCTCATTTCTGGTCCATGATGATTTTAATTTGACCGATGATAATTTTCAAGGTCCTTTTTCCCAAAATTTAATAATGCAATAAAAATTATAAATATCTAGAAACAAGTTATTGAGTGTAGATAATGTACTAACGTAAAAAAAAAACAAAAATTTAATCGTTAATTTCAAATAAATTGAGCTTAAATACATGAATTTCCGTTACATGTTTAACCAGAACATTTCCCATTATTACTGTAAAATTGCATTGAAACCAAGAACAGTTCAAACACCTTAACATGAACTTTGAATTTACAAACAATAAAACCAAAATTGCACATGTTGATGGAATAGCCAAAGGATTACACATTTCCAATTAGAAAATCACTAATGAACTACTATTGCATTTTGACAAGTATTTATACTCACAAAAAAAAAACAAAAAAAAAATACTACCAGCCCTAAGGATGACATTCACAAATGCGGTTTTGCAGCGTTGTTGCCCTGTTTCTTTTTTCAGCTCGAAATTTTAATTCAAACCGGGACACTACATTATCATCCACCAATATTTTATTAAATGGCAACCTGTATAAAATCTCCTTATAATAAATTTTAAACCTTTACACGAAACAGCGAAGGATTAGTATTTTATTATTTAGGATTATATTATTTACTTTGATACTCAGTCACCCATTGAAAAATATTGAGCAAAATATTTGCCTAATAAAGTTCACATGGGGCGCTGATTCTTTCAAAAACTGTCACTAAATATTAATTTTAAGTTACAAATCAAGTTTCTATTTATATGCAGGGAATTTAACAATTTTATCTTAATTATCTAAACTTGGTGTATTTACAAACAGTTTAGTCCAGAATTCAATTTTTTTTTAAGAATAGGTAGATATAATCTGGTTCTGACAGTATGTCTAACACACTGATCATCTTGGTCCTGACAGCTTAGTTCGAGGTAAGTAAGATCAAAGTAGTGTGGACGAGGTCACGTCAGGTCAGGTCAAATCAGTCCGGTCCGCCCCCAGTACCAAGCACCCAGGGGTGACAACGAAAACTCACTCGCACAGCCAGAGAATAATTGTTCATCACAATTGACCTTGGGATGGATATGGGTGTGGCTTAATTTTTGGTTTGTTATTTACTTAATATACACAACATTCTTTGAACAACACGATACTCAAAAACATGTTTTTTATTTCTCGTAGAGAAAAAAGTTCCCTCCCATTGGCTCACGACGAATAAAAAAAATCATCACAGTTAAGATAGGGTGGGTGGGCGGGGCTACATTTTGCCTTTTTTTCTTAGTATCTGTTGACTTATTTCGACTTAAACAAGAAACTTAAAACAGAGATAATTATCTCTGCTTAAAACATGTATATTGTAACAATTTTCAGATGGACAAGTTTAAGAAGTTTAATAAAGGAGAACGTGTTTTACCGGAACATTTTTCATTATTGTCGTAAATTTGTATTGCAATAAGAAAAAAAAAGTCGATATTTAAATTATAAACACGATGATTTGTTACAGTTTTTATTTTATTACTTATAAAATTTGACAATTCGCACATTCTTTCCCTGAATACTTGAGGTTTAATTATCATTGTAAAAATAATGCAATAAATACATCTAAAAAGAAAGAGGTTTATTTAAGAAAAAATAAATAAATAAAATAAAAATTAAATTACAAAAAGGAAAAAAGTTAATGCTGCCAAATTATTTTTTTTCTATTAATTTTTTCACCTTTGGCATTTGTAAATTTAAAGCTAGCATTTACAAATTTTAGTGCATAAAATAATCTCATCCTAGCATACAAAGCAAGCAAATAATCATATAAAGTAAAATTTTTATTTAAAAAAAAATATTACAAAAAAAATACATATTTGTCGACTCGCATAAAGTGCAGGTAATTGGTATGCGTCGACGCAGGTAAGAATAATTAAGGAATTCATGAAACCGGAAGTCCATAGGGATTAAGCGAAAAAAGATATTTGACAAAATGTACGGCTTGGGTCATTTTTACCCACGCGCGACTGCTTATGGGTTAAGCAACGTCTCAAAATAAAACTCAAGATTGTGTAGGTCAAAAAAAAATATATATATATATACATGATGAATAAAAAAATTGTTTATTGAGTGAAGGTCTGCTTATATAATTTTTTGTTACGTGTAGTTTGTTTCTTATTACTTTTATATTAAATTTTACCACAACAACGGAATCATATATAATAAATTTTTTATATTTATTTCATAACCACCGTTGTTGTTCGTTTGCGACGACTTTTTAAACAAAAAGTGTGTTATGTTTACTATCTTTTCCAAGAATTCCAAACACGAGGGAGAGAATAAGGCAGGCGCACAACAGGGATCCTGTATGAAAATTCATCCGACGAAGATTTTACCTTTTATTGTGAAAATTACATTTTTATACTATTTGTACAATTCTACTGGAAAAGCAGTCTTAAACAAGCAAAACCGGCAAAAATATTGTAACAAAACTGCCAAATTTCAAATATTTTAGACGTCAGTTGGGCGCCCTCATTCGGTCATAAAGCGAACGACCACCCACGAAAACGGGTCACGAAAAACGGCGAGCCGTCCCTACTGATTGTTATCTCTACTGTGCCTAAAGCGTGACATTCACTAATTATCTAAGCGGTCAACCCTAACTGAAGATCTCTACACATGGTTGCCTAAGTTCGAACGATTTTTTTCTTATTTTTAAATTTTCCAATGCGGTTTCGTGCCATTGTTCCTCTCTTTTTTTTTTTCAACGTGAAATTCTAATTCAAATCGGACAACTGCCCAAAAAACAACAAGAAAGTAGGTCAAGTAACCCTCAAATTTTGTATCTACCTAATATGTATACAGACCAGAGGAAAACACGTTTTGAAAAGTTTAGTCCAAGGAATAGCAAAACACTGGAAAGTGGCCTTTAATAAAAAAATTCCTAGGGAAAATTTATGATTTCTGTAAAATTATTGACGATCAGTGGATTTATGCCTGAAATAGTGTTTCGGTGTGTAAATGACGTGAGTGTAGCGTAACACTTTACTTCACGCTGTACAACCGGCTAAAATTTTAAATTCCACTTAGTCTTAAGTGTCGCTTAATATGTATCACTTATCTTATTATGACTCTTTATTATGAGCGAAAGCGGTACAGTTGGGCCTAAGACATTATTTTTATCTTTCGAAACGTAAATACGTCTTAACACTTAACTACTGTTACGATAACTTAACAAGTTTGTTGCATATTCGGGAAGATACATACACAGTATTACTTTTCCCCCTTGTGGAATAAGTATAACGAACACATACTTGACAGTTTCGTTCTCAGCTGAGTTTTCTTGATTTTTTTTAATCTAAAACAGATCTGAGTCTTTACAAAAACTCTA